GAAGAAGTTGGAAAATGAATATTAAAAATGACTAGGCTTTAGGCTACAAAAGCAAGCGACACCAGCTGAAGATGTACTGAATGAGCTTAGTATTGACCTGAGCCTGAGTAAGTTTAGAATCGAATTGTGCTCTTTGGGTTTATGAGTGCAAAGCAGAAAGAATTGTCTGGCTGAGAGGAGGACATGACTTCTGGTGTACAATCAGTTTCTTCCCTTACTGGATTTATTCTTTTGGAGGTGCATGCTCCTAAACAGGATCTTACTGCAATAAAAGGTTTGTAAGCTGGCTAGCTAGTCTGACAAGCAGAACGTAGACCTTGACATAGATGAGAGATGAACATACTCTTTTCTTTCACTGTTCAAGAAGATACCAGTTCATGTTAGACATACCCCAGGTTTACAGGTAAGAAATGTTCCTAGCACGCAAACCAGGATCAGTTGACTTCTGTAGCCATCCACTCACATCAGTGTAGTTGACCCCCTCGGCTTACCTTAACCTAAATAATTATCACCAATTTTTAATGGACAGCCTGCAGACCACAGATCAGCAGAAGGAACAACGTACAAACCATCTCACTGTAGGGACTGCAGCTCCTTAGATCCAGAATGGACCTTGAAACATGTCTCACGCCAAAAATACTATAGGAACAAAGGATTATCAAGGGTCCCTTCAGTCATTGAGTCCTACCCCCCATTCCATTTAATCAAGGGTCATACATAATCCCAAAGTGTCCCTCGAAGCCTCTATTTCACTAACCTTCAGCTGCAGACAGCTGCCTGACACCCTGCAGCAAACCCTAGACCCAGAGCCATGACCGTAGCTGCTGCAAGGAGAGAACAGGAGGGATCAAGGGCACCATCACCACTGGTACATTTATTGCAGCTTTACATGGTTGCTAGCACATGTGTAGCAAAACCAAGTTCCCCTTAGCTGTGGTAAACAAAAAATATCGTCTCCAGATAGGTCGTGGGGGGAAAAGCAAATAAAAAGGGACCATGCAAAAGTCAGTCTAGATTTAGCAAATGTGTTTCTGACTGAATTTCCCCTCTCTCAGCTTGAAGTCCATGCTGTTTATGAAATATTTCAGCATTGGGGGAGGTGGAGGTCCATGCTGAGGGTGATGAAGAGAGGGCAGCCCTGTGGAAGTGATGGGCTCCATGGGCCCTTCCCCTCTCATTAGCTTGGGCTCAGCTGTTTCCAGGCTGAAAGCAGAGCTGGGAGAAGGGACTTTTATTTCCCTGGGGACAGAGACATCGTCAATTATCTGCCATTCCCTGCTGCAAGCTGTCAACGGACAGGGCGGAGAAAGAGTACTGATAGGATTTCAGCTTATCCCTCGACTCTGCTGATGGGCTCATCATTCAACTGCCATGCACTTAGCACGGACAATACTAATTATATTAATTATGCTCCTACACAGCATGTGCTTATGTTAGCATTAAGCAGACTGGTGACTTTTTCAAATGAAACATCAGTGGTTCATTAGCTATATGGATTTAAAAACGTAAACGTACTCATTGCGTCCACTGCTGAGGTAGATCTCTGGAATCTCAAAAGCGTTTAATACCATTTGAGATGTGCACTCTGCTTTATACTGAGAGCAAAATGCATATTGTATATAGAAGACAGTAGCATTATATCAGGTAACTACTAAATGCAGACTTAGAAACATGTCCACTGCACTGGAGTAGCACCAAAATCCCCTTAGTAGTGTTCGTCTGTAGGGGTACCTGTCAGGTCAACAAGAGATCTGAGTAAGTCCTTGTGGGCTGAGCCTTCCTGAAATTATACTAGTGACTACATTTACATGTATAATCAGAATACAACTGTATTATTAAATTCACAGGTAGGTTTACTTAGTAGCACAGAGGCCTGTGAACCGTTTAAGAGACAGGAAAGTAAATCCCCCTCTACAAAGTGTATTACAAGAATGTGACAAATACTCATAGTTCAAAGTGTATTTCCTAGAGGTAGAGATCATAAATAATCCACCAATGTGGTGCCCCTCTGCAGCCGTGGTCTATGTGAATCTGGCTAAGGGGCTGCTGCTGCTACGCAGTCGGGGCCATTTTGTGAGGTCAGTTGGAAGTATCTGAGATGTCATCAATATAAGTTTAAATTTTAAGAACAGATGGTGTTTGTACGATAGAATCAACCTCTAACCTGACAAACTGAAAAGGGACTGAACAGAACTGGGAGATGTCATCAGTTCTGACTCTGTTACCTCCTTTTATCACAGTTTTCTTCTGTACAGAAATGAAACATACATTAATCACCAAGATTATATATAATATATATAGAGAGAGCACGAGCCTATCTGGGCTCTGAGATCTGACCATTTTATGCAAAAGCAAAGCAAAAGTAGCTCCAGGCAGGTCTTCAATTTGCATTTCAATTGCACTTCTTCCACATTGCCTTCTGGTATCTTGAGGAAAGTCTTAGCTACTAAAGCATTGCAACACTGTCCGAGTGCTTGAGCAATATCAATAAGTAAATTCCTTTTCCAAAATTACTATTTTTTTAAGTTTCCCCAAAGCAAAAGAAAACCTAAACACTTCCACTGTGTGTGCACATGGTCACACACAGACATAAAGATTTTGTTTGGAGCAAAACCCATTCATCTTTCATTCACTTTAATACCAAAGATATTAATTGTGTGGAAGTTGTTAGCATTTTGAGAAGAGTTTTGAATCTCAAGTAATTATGTTGTTATAGCCAACGTGGTCATGATGAGGACCCAACTTCAAGTTTGGTTTTATTCCTCTTATTTTTTGAGGAATGGCTGAAGTTTATGCAGTTAAATCTCCTCTGACTGTCAGTGTTGTTTAGCTCCTACCCTCACAGGTGTCCTGATGCCGTCGGCGGGGGTGTTAATCAGGGCAAGTGCTGAACGCGTGCAAGGGATTTGCTGCTCCTTGGCACTCTGGACCCAACTTTTAATGCAAATCCTTGTGTGCAAATGGGAGTGTACAGCACGCACCGTGACTGTCTTAAGGTTATTTGCAATCCCGAAGGGAACTTGCTGCACGGAATCTCAGAGCACCCTTATCTCCTGGCCACAGTGGAGGAGAAAACTGGCTGTAATTGCAGCCCAGGTGGTACCTCTGAGGGCTGTCCGGTCACAGGGGGCAGCCCTCGCTTCCAAAACAGAAAGATGTACGCTGTTTTGGTTATGCAATAGAGAAAACCTCACATTACCGGTAGCGCTGGTGATGCTGGGACTGGAAGAGCTCTTGCAGAAATATTCCTGACAAAGCAGCTCCTCGGGCAATGCAGTCCTCTCCATGGAGAAGCAGTAGCTCACCATGACATCTACTGCCATCTCAAAGAGTATTTGCCCAGCTTAGCGCTGCAAATTAAATATAACTGGATGGCGCACAACATTTCCCCGCGTATTTGCTTTCTCCAGCGAGTGTTTGCCGTGCAGGCACCGCGTAGCTCTGGTGCTTATCTTTAATAAATACGCTCGGTTGCGAAGGCTTACATTGCAAATCTGTGGCCTTCACAAGTGGCTGCTTTTTTGGGCACTTGTGATCATTCCTCATCTGTGGGGATGAGAGGGTGGTGTGGACTTGGTTGGCCCCGTAGCTCATGGTTCCACAGAGCATCAGCTCTGTTGCCTACAGGCAGCTCCAGCCCCTGCCATGCTCTCCTGCCTCAGCACCAAACTCATCCTTTGACCCAGCTTGTTGGAGAGAAATAAACTGGAGCATGCCACGTCCAGCTTTAGGAATAAGTGGGGAGAAAAATTATAAAAAAAAAATCTCCTTTTCATTTTTTGTCAGGTTATTTTTAAGCTGGCCTAGTTTCTCAATCCGTTTCACAGCGCAACAGCATTAGCAGCCATGCTGGCACCCCGGGAAGGAAGGAGGCGGTGAGAGGACGGGTCCTGCGGGATGGGGGAGCCGGTCCCTGGCAGCACCCACTGACCAGAGCCCTCTTCTCCAGCATCGCCCTTTCCCTCCCGCTCCCTGCCCTGCTGCCTGGCCTCAGCTGGCCACGATATTCCTCGGCTGGCTCGGTGAGGCCGTTTACCTCGCTGGAGCAGCACAAAACCCAGGCAGCAGAAAAATCTGCTTTGTCATCTGCCGAGGGCAGCAAGCGCCGGGGTCGAGGCAGGGAAAACAGTGGATCGAGGAGGAAAGGAAGAGGGAGGCATCCCTCTTTCCCCTTGTGGCAAGAGCAAGCTGATGGAGGCGTTGTGAACCATGACACTCGTTTGCTGTTTCTTTTTGGGTGGGTTGAAATCACCTTAGTTTCATGCAGTTTCAACTGGGCGTTGAAAATGGGTACACACACAGAGCAAGGGCTTTCTCATGGGGTGCTGAGGCACCCCCTGGACACATGAAATGCACAGCATACGGTGCCTGGAGCTTGTTTTACTTGTCTCTCATTGTGGTGGAGAGCATCCCTCTATCATCACGGCATGCCGTGGCTGCACGTGCACCCACCGCACCTTCCTTCTCAGCAGCCAGGCAGGAACAACTATGGGGAAAATGAGCAAGGATCAAAGGGGAGCTGCAGGACTTGATTCATGCTGAATGAACTCTCTTTTCTTAATTTCATTATAAGTAATAACACTCGATGTTGATGGTGAGTGCCCCCTAAGAGCTCTGCAGACTCCCAAAATAATCTCTGGGACACTCTGATGCAGCAGATGGGGACACCAGGGTCAGGGGAGAAACATGGCAGGCATGGCAGAAATCAGGGATGGCATTGGGATTATCACACTGAAGCATCTTGTTTCTAGTCCCACATCCAGACCTTCTTTGTGTCTCTGGCACATTTGCAGTAGACCCTGGGCCATAAGTCAGAAATGAAAATAGGACCATTTCATTTTTGAGGCGGGTCAATTTGGCAATGCAAACAGATCCATGCCCTGGCTTCAGGGGGTGGTTCAGTTACCCCTTACCGTGACTGATGGACACCAGGCAGTCCCATCCTCACCGCCTGCCTCTTACCCTCCATCGTCGCTGACCTGTTTTCTGTTGTTTTTCAGGAATATCTTCCAGGCTTCCTGAAATCATGTCAATAGGATCACATTCATTCTCTCCAGGAGGTCCTAATGGGATTATTAGAAGCCAGTCCTTCGCTGGCTTCAGCGGGCTTCAGGAAAGACGCTCCAGGCAAGTGCCGTGCTCTCTCAGGGGAATTTTCAGATCAGGCCCTAAGGGACCCCCGGGGGTTCAGGGGGTGAAGGTGGAAAAGAGGCGAGAGAGGACTGCCTTCTCTCTGACTTGCCAAAGAAAGCCTTCTAGGCTAAAATCTCTCTGTATATTGTTTGTACAACTAAGCTGCTACCCGCTGCCTTAGCTACCAAGTGCCTGTTTGCCTCTCCCCCATTAATGCAGGGCTTCCTCACATGCCTCAGAACTGTGAGAGAGTTTCAGAGAATCATTTTGATTTACTGACTTATGCAGAGATCTGTTCAACATGTGAAATGTGCAGGAACACGATGCACTTCCCACTGCCCACAGTTTAAGACAGTTTTCTCACTGCCACACTGCTATGAATTCAAAACAGCTCCGTTTCCCTTGCAGGGCTGCCTTCATGCCCTGCTGGAAACAGGGCAGAGCTCGGCTGCAGAGCCTTTCCTTGCCACCCCCCTTTAGCTAGGCAGGACCTAGGGCTTTGAGTCAGGCACTTACCAAGTCATCCAGTCCCTGGTGCCCCCAGAGGCTACTTTACAATTAATTTTGACTTCTGTAAAGTCTCAGAGTGCCAGACCCCCTGTTAGCAATCGAGGAGGAACGGCAGGCAAAGGGTAACCTCCCATCACCGGCTCAAGTCCACAATGGTTGTTAGATGCTGGCCCGCCCCCGGCAGAGTCACCGGAGAGGCACCTAAGTGCGGCGAAACTCTCCTCCTTTTGCCTTACAGAGCGACCTACAGTCCGTCTGAAGAGCAGTGCCGTGATGCTGTCCTCCAGACATGCTCTTAAGCGAGCCCCGATCTTCCTCAAGTAGCCACCAGGCTTTAGGCCTGAGATTATCTGGGCTCCCCTTTGGTTTTAGCACCTGGATGGAGCTCAGCCCTTTTACGGCTGTAGCGGAGCGACGTGAGGCAGGGCAGGCACGGTGTGAGACAGGGCAACGTCTGACGAGCCTCAGACTCAGCCTGGCGCTTCCAGACCAGCATTCGTATCTCGGTGAGGCAACTGGCACATCAAAAGCTGAGAGTGCATGTCCTAGGCTGCTCAGACCTCCTAACCTGTAAACAAACGTGGCCCTTTCGCTGGCAGGCACAGAAGCAGATTCGCTTCTGCTAGCAGAGATAATATCAGAAGATTTCTTCAAGCTATGCTCCTTTGAGATCGTTATGATTTATAGGGGTTTCCCCCTCTTTAATGTTCATTTTGCAGGTGTAACTCCTTTATTGAAAATTCCTCTGCACTCAAGAAGCCCCAAGCAAAGGTGAAGAAAACGCATAATTTGGGCCATAAGAACAGCACCACGCCCAAAGAGCCCCAGCCTAAAAGGATGGAAGAGGTCTACCGAGCCCTGAAAAATGGCCTGGAGTAAGAATTTTTCTTCTTCTTGTTGATTGAAGCTTTCTGTGACATTTTAGAGCCTAGAGAAACATATCACAGGAACAGGGATCCTTAATCATAGGAGAGGAAAATACACCTCTCGGGGCCTGGATTGTAACGCTTAGGATCTGAAATATTTGTACAGGAAATGGGGCAGAATCCCATTTCCACTCAAATTGCTAGGAAAGCTCCCAAAGGCTGCGATTTCAATGTTAGATTTTTTTTTTTTCCCCTCCAGATTTCCTAGCGTCCTGTCAAGAGGCTTGTATCGCCCTTAAGATAACATCCCAGACGATAATGGGGCTTTTACCAGCCAGATACAGGAGCAGAGATTGGAAGGCACCAGCCCATAAACTAAGCAGCAGATTAGCTTCCTTGAAACTGGTCGTTCAGTGTGAGGAGAACACCGAGCTCTTCTACACAGCTAAATAAGTAGCTCCTATTTGTTCCCCAAAAGGCAGCAGGGAGCTGCTTTTAGGACAGATCAATGCAAATGAGTTTTTGTCTGAACACAGACCCGATGAGGAAAGCCATTTGTTGCACAGATTTTCTTTTAGGATGGTCAGCAGCCAGCTCGGTGCATGTTGCAGAGCTCACGCGTCCCTTCTCTGGTTTGTGTTTTACAGCGAGTATCTGGAAGTTCACCAGGCAGAGCTGGATAAGTTGACTACTCAGTTAAAAGACATGAAAAGAAACTCACGCCTGGTACGTGTCACGCTTTGTCATCCTGCGGATGCAGAGTAACCTTCTCGAGGTGCTGGAGCAGCCGCGGGGTGGGAGCAGGATGCAGGGGCTTTCATAGAATCATAGCATCGTTAAGGCTGGAGAAGACCTTTAAGATCATCAAGTCCAACTGTTTTGCATCGGTGCTCTTCTTCCCTTCCAGCCCTGGTCTTGTTTGTGACTTTGACTGACTGACAAACATTACTTTCTTGTGGTGCTGTTACGCTGCAAAATTAATCACAGTTTTATCTTCTCTGTTGCAGGGAGTCCTGTACGATTTAGATAAGGTACGTTACCCTCTTTGATGCTGGTTTTGCAAGGCAGCGTTAGTATCTGTACGGTGTATGGAGCTGGCACGGGAAGCCTCTCTCAGCCGGATCTACTAGTCAGGCCAACACCATGGAGGGAGAAGTTACCTGAGAGTTTGCACTTGCGAAGGAAGCAGTCCCGCTCCCCTCCTCTTCCCAGGGGCTCTGGTATTGCCCGGCACCTCTGCCAGCCAGCTGTGCTCGCTATCCCGGCACCAAACTTACCCCATCAGTCCTTCCCCAGCGTCTGTCCAGTTAAACCACCTTCGGGATGGGCACGGGGAAGGAGGCAGACCCCTGCCAGGGGAGGAGGGAGGTGGAGGAGCGAGACTTCCTGTTTCTGCCAGTTGCCAGACGTTAAATCCATCGCCTTGCGCAACTTCACCCCGCCAGCTCCAGGCGGGCGTCAGACTTGGCAGGGGCATGCCAGGGGTGGCGGTGGGAGCCAGGCCAAGCCCTGGCTCATCCCTGCTCCTCCCAGTTCTGGGGAACCAAAAATTGAAAAACAGAAGATATTTTTTCCCCTGCAGGAAAATTTGGGTGAAACAAAAGGAAAGCTTTCAAACACGTTTCCTGAACAAGTCTGCCTTGCTTTCAGTCAAAATGCCAAGCTTGGTTTTGCTTTCAGAAAAGCATTTGCTGAGGAAGAGAATGGATTTTGAAATGCAAAACCCCATCAATTTTAATACAGGTTCTCAAAGTACTGAGAATACTATATTTTGAACTCATAAAGCTCAGATCTTTTTCTTTTATTTTTTTTTTTTAAGAATTAAAGAAGCTAGGGAAATCCTGTGAAAGGAAATATTTTTTTTTGTTCAAAAATACATTAGGTACAGAAGTCAGCGAGCCCCACTGTCAGCAGGAGATTAGTGGTAGTCAGGCGAGGCGGCTAACTCCAGATTTGCGGGCAACAAACCCCTGCATGCTTTAAGGAGGAGTTTCTCCGCCGCGTGGGGACCTGAAGACCCGAGCAGAGCTAGCATGGTGATGACTTACTGATTTATTTAGATGTGCCTCACCCTCTGCCTTTTCCTTCCCTTCAGCAAATCAAAGCAGTGGAAAGATACATGAGGAGGCTGGAGTTCCACATTAGCAAGGTAACGAGCGCTCCTATCATCTTTCTTCTGCGCCTGCTCCTGTGCTATTGGGAAAACAAACCCTTGGCCTCCTGCTACCCCTCCCCTCCGGGGAGGCCGCCTTGACGAAGCCTCTCCCAGCTTCAGTATTTTTACAGCGATGGGCTGGGGTTGGAGCCAAAGGAAGGGTTTCCACGTGGGTTTGTAGCCCCCGAGGTCCAGCCATGCCCCGAGACACTCCCGCCTGGCTTTTAGGTACAGAGAGAAGGCAGGGTCAGGGCGCTCTTGCTGGGAAAGCTCTCTCCCATCACATGCATGCTGTTGAACTATAGGTAGAGAGGGAGTTGCATCTGAAAGTAATTTAATTTGGTGGTTGCCTCTCCTGTATGCGGCAGCTAGATTGGATGTGGTCCTGGATTTTGCTGCTAATGCTTCTGCTGCGTGGTTTGGGGCCCGCATCCACTTGATGACATTGGTGAGAATAGGCAGTAGAGGTACCTGCGATTTATACCAATACGTTTTAGAGCTGGACAAAATCCATGGCTTGTGTTCTCTTACTTATAAACATATCTGCTAGCGATTAGTTGCTTTTCTGAGCCTGACAAAAGAATGAATTATTTTTTTTGACGGATGAAATGTCTTTTGAGAGTCATTTGAAAAGCGTTCGCACAGCTTGAAGTGCTCCAATTATGACAACCCATCCAAACCTTTTAATTTCAGTCTTCTCTTACTCTTGGAGCCAAATAAAAAAAACCGAAAAAATATAAATCATCAGGCTATAGACTGAAATTTTGTTCCCCAAACGACCTTCTCTCTTGCTGGCAACATGAATGGCAAAATTAGTGCTTAAAGAACATTTCCATTCAGGTCCTTCCCACTCCAGCCTGCTCAGAGCTAATGGTTTCAGGGCTTATAATAGGACTGAAAAGCACCGAACACAAGAGGTAATGCTGGTCAGTATTACTCAAGCTTGCAGGAGTACATTAGTTCACTTCCCGTAACCCACAGCAACAGAGACAAAAGGAACCAAGCTCTGCTGCGTTAAAACGTGCGGGCTCGGGCAGGTAAAGAGACATCTTTGTTTCTAAAGATAGGGAAGGTCTTTTCAGCAGTACCAAATCCGGGCCGCGGTGATGCCTTCTGCCGCCTGCCTGCCGCTGCTCCGTAGAGGCAGTGGAGCAAGGACAAGGGGGTGTGCAGGAGCAGCCCCCGCATATTTAGGGGGCAGGCGAGCGTGCCCTTCGCCGCGCTCGCATGGGCAGGGGCTGGACATCAACCCTGGGCTGGCGCTCCACCTGGGTGGCAGAAGTAAATACCAAGTGACAGCTATTTATAGTAGTTGTCTTGAGCTGGCTGACTTGCAAGAGAAATAGGAGTGGATGTGACTCCAAGAAGCTTTTTTTGTAACCTTGAAATGGCAAAATGCTACCCGTGCCTCCATTACCTGTTGCTGAACCCTTTCGTTTTGCAAAGCAGTCCCTGGTTTGGTTGGGGGTCCCTCAAGTTGGAGGCTTTGGCCACCGGGTATCCAAGCTAGCCTTGTGCAAGTCGACCTAATGCTTTGAAGCTGTCAGGAAGAACAGTCCCGCTCCAAACAAATATGCAACAACAAGCATTTTGTGAGAGGCTAAGCAGGCTTGGAAAATGGGATTTGGAACACGCCTGGGTTGTCACATCAGGCTCATCTCTAATGCAGCAACACAAAGTCGTAGACTGAGGAAGCCAAGGCACTGGAAGCTTTCATAGAGAGAAACTCTGCTGTGAAAATCTACTGCTGAGCAATAAGCACCGTGGGGCACCAGGTGATTGCTTGATGTCAGAGGTAACAAAAAAGTTATTCTAGGTAAAACCCAAATGTCATCCTATCTTAGCAGGGACATTAGAAGCAGAAAGAAGAGACAGCTGCCTCTATTCCTTTCCTTCTCCTCACCCTGATAGAGTCAGATTAGAAAACCTACATCTCCTGTATCTGTCAGATTAAGTTTATATAAATATATACCACTATATATAGCTGGTGTATATATATATACACACACACCAGCTATACCACTGTAGACTCCCACTGAACAGCTCGGATGGAGTAAATGTATACATTCAGTGCAGAGATCAGAGGAAAAAAGGGAAACCAAAGCATGAGACACACGTAAATCCATTGCGCTCTGAAGCTAGATCCAGGTGAGACTTTAAACTGCATGTGAGTAGGTTTTGCAAAACTACCAGAGTGCTTATGAAATGTTGGGTGCCTAAGTCATGCCAAAGGACTTTAGATGATTGGGAAATTTATGTGAATGCCTGTGGAGCTGAAGCTCAAAACTTTCTTAATTTGACAGCAGCTGTTTCTAAGTCCTTTATTTGTGCTCATTCTGGCTATGACTCCCAGTTTCTGGAGGACAGGCAGTGAGAATTAAAAAAAAAAAATAATCAGTCCCTGCTTTCAATATTACCTGTTAGTCAAACATTGGAACAGCCTTGATCCATGGCTGGCGTTAGCAATACAGGAGATGTTGCTGGCCCTCTTAAATGGGCCATTTAACGCGCCCAGTCCCCTTCGGCAGTGTGGACGTTGCGGCTGCCTTCCACACCGATGCATCGGAGAAGCTTGCTGCATGCCCGCCCTACCGTTACAATTGCATGTAGCCCAGACAGTGAGGAAAGGGAGTAGCAATGGTTAAAGGCGTGCAGGGCAGGGAGGTGAACTGCTGGCAGCATCTGGTGTTGCTGTAATGAGATTTTTTACAGTGGAAGTTATTTTTATCTTGTGTTTCTTTTTTCATAGGCTGTAACAGTATCACAGCTTCATTTGCTCACCCCTTCCAATGGATCTGACAGTTTGGCTTAGTCTCCTTGTAATGCAAATGACTTCATTGTTTGTTGGTTTTATTTTGTTGGGTTTTCTTAGTGTTTTTTTTCAACGCGCCCTCATTGTTCCCACTAGGTGGATGAGCTTTATGAAGCCTATTGTATTCAAAGACGACTCTGTGATGGTGCCAGCAAAATGAAGCAAGCCTTTGCAATGTCTCCCGCCAGCAAAGCCGCCCGAGAGAGTCTAACTGAAATCAACAGGAGTTACAAGGAGTACACAGAGGTACATCCTCATCAGTTCAGTCTTTTGCTCTCACCCTGTTTGAAGGCCATGGGAACTTTACCACTGATTTCAGGGAGAATTTTGTCCGGGTAAAAGAATTAAAAGCAAACTCGGCAAAGAAGAATTATTATTTATTTGTTTGTCTTCAGGTGAATACCTGGTGGCTTACAAAGACAGGTTATATGAGCCCAAAAAGTTCCTTGAAATAATAATGTTTATGTTCAACAAGAGCAAGGTCATACCCAGGAACTGCTGCACATGAAAAAAGCATAAATCTGCCCCAAACCTACATATATTCTAACTATGTCTTTCCCACGCCACAGATTTTGGGATGACAGGTTGGCTGGAGCCCATGTGTATGCGGACACCTGCTGCTATCCAGTTTTACTTGCTGTGATCAGCATCTAACGTTATTGAACAGGCAGTAGACGAAGAAAGGTCTAATAGTGTTGCAAACATCCCAGCACACAAGCTGTGATGGCCTTCCGAAATCTGAAGGAAGTACTGGAGAGGGGCCGGTACCCATCTCCCACAGTCTTTTTTGTCCTTAATGTAGTCCATATTTCTTGAGAGATTAAAAACATGCTGGGAGCCGCTTTGGCACGGAGCTGCCTCTGGCACATGTCCCGGCTGGAGAGGACTGGGACAGTGACCAGGTTACGCTTCAAGGGCCACAACTGCCCTCTGCCAACGGGAGGATTAGAGCGCAAAGAAGACAAGCACAGGGTTACATTCAGCTCCGGTGCGAGCAGGCGTAGCTCAGCTGCCATTTTTAGGGCCTGACCTAGCTAGACAGCAAGGATGGCTCTGGCGGATTGACTTTATTGCAAGGTATCTTTCTTTCTGCATAATGGAATCTTTCCTTCCAAATAGACCTTGGAAAAAAAAAAAAAGCCAGAAAGAGGGTTTGTCTGACCACACTCTTCTCTTTTCCGACACAGAACATGTGTACCATAGAAGCAGAGCTGGAAAACCTACTGGGGGAGTTTTGCATCAAGATGAAAGGTAATTGCCTTTCCACCTTTCCCTTCTTTCTCCTAAAAGTAGTAGTAGCAGCCGCTGTGCAGGTTAGCAAGGGCGTCGAGGCACGCTGGTGCGGTGCGTATTTGTGATAGGTGCAGTTTTCCCCTACCACACCCCTTGCTGAGCCTTCAAACCCCCAACTTACACCCCTGCCCGGTGGAAAGGATCGCAGAGCCAGGAACATCAAAGCTTACAGAGAGACTTGCTGAGATGCTGCTTCTTGTCTTCGAGGCTAATTACCTCCCTCAAACACTCCTCCCAACAGCCAAAGCAACGCAATTTCGAAGCCTGATGTACGTTTTGCTTCTATTTCCATAATCCTTTAAGAAGATGACTGGGAAATTACGTGAATGTCCACAGAGCTGAAGTTCAAAATACTTTCTTAATTTGACATCAGCTGTTTCTGAGTCCTTTACTTTTGCTGATTCTGGCTGCTACTATTTTTGAGCGAGTGTAGAAAAGCAAAGAGCTGGGGGTAGTCTACCATTTAAACACCTAGATAACTCAGTGGTGGCATTCACCTTTCCTTTTTGTCCCTTGTCTTTATGACAGGGGACTTTATGGGTTTGAATACAATGGAATCAGTTTTACCTGAAGCCCCAGTGAATCACCAGGTATTGCTAATGCTGTTATCCCCTTAAGACCCAACATCTTAAAGAAGAGATTTTGGATCTGCAATCACTGGCATGAAAATAGTTCTATTAAACAAAACCAGCATCTAAATATTCATGCGCTCTTAATTCTTCACTTGAAATCTTGCCATTTAAAAAACCCACAGTATTGCTGGTGGAGTTTTTAGAGCTCACAAATCTCATACAGGGTTTTGGGTCTGCCTGCCTTGTCACAGTTGTGAGTTAGTCGTGTTCTGTGGTTGCACTGCATAAGGCATGATCTAGCTTTGTTTAAGTTAGAAGAGTTACTCCGTGCTCCCATATTAGAGAAAACAAGCGCAGCAGCTGTCAAAGTTCTCCTAGTTCCACCCCACAGCACCAGACCTCAGGTTTTAAAGCCCCCACTCTTCAGTGCTGGAAAGGCAGTCAAAGGTGCATAGGTGTAAAGTTACAGGATCGACACAGGGAGCCTGAGCCAGATATTCCTCTACAAAACCCCACAGCAGAACCGCAGCGTGGACATGCTGAAGGAAACATGAGGTCACACAGCATGGAAAGGGAATTGCATCAGGCCAGGTCCCTCAAAGCGTTTCCTTATTTGCTGTGAATGCAGCACAATGTACAGGTCCTGACAGCAGAACACGTCGCAGAAGGTGTCCTGGCATCGCAAATGACCAGGCTGAAAAGGTCTGGCCCCTTCTTTTTTGTATGCCCAAATCCTGCTGCAAAGCTTGAGGGCTCTGGAGGAGCCAGGCGCTGTGCTCACATGCAGGAGCAGAGCACAAACCACGAACAGCAGCTACTTCTGAACACAGTTCTCATAACATAAAGAAGCCCAAATTAGAAAATTGCAAAGATAAATGGTGTATCATTAAGTATTCTCTAATTAGGACAGCTAAGATTTCTATCTAGATAATTTTCCCTAGGAATAGGAAGCCCATAGGACAAACCAGCCCCTGCTGTTGCTAGAGCTCACAACAGCTCTAGCACAAAAGCCTACAGATCACGCAGCAAGCTTCCCCCTTATGTTATACTGCAGCACATCCAACTAACTTTAGGATCTAATTTAAAATCAAAGCACTCCTCTCCCCAAAGCTTATCTCTTCCTAGCTGTTCCAGTGAAAGTTATTTTTATTTTCTGCCCTCTGTCACTTACACTGAAAGCAAGCCAACCTACACAGCGCTGTCAGGAAGCAGGGGACCCACACTGTGTTTTGGTGACTGATATTTAAAAAAAAAAAAAAAGCCTAATCATTTTTCAAAATAAAGATAATAAACTTGCCAGCAGGCTTCAGTTACGGCTCAGGATTAATCAGCTGTTGAGATTAAACAGGGAAACCCAGTGTGGAAACGTAGAAGTCCCTATATGGAATCTGCGTGTCATTTTATGGTGTATAGGGTAGTGTCCCATACCTGTTGGAAGTGCTGGGACAGCAGGAGGTAAAATGCTCAGCCGTTTCGCTCAGGGAGAGCGATACACTGGCCGGACGCACCCGGGGCTCCGCAACACGGAGCCCAGCGCCAGAAACCGCAGTCCACGTGCCCAGCATCCTGCACACGAGCAGAGGCGTACGTGATGTGTGAACTTCAGGTGTCCCTGCCAATGAAGGACACTAGCGTCCTGCCACCTTGCCGCAGCCACGTAATGGCCCTATCCCCTGGTTATTTACCCTGACACCCGAGGGAGCAGCCTCCCGTCCAACCTGCATTGCAAGCCCGGGACAGTGCTTTTGCAAAGACGTGACATTGGAACGGTACGATGGAGCCATTAGCTCCTGCCGTACATTTGGTCCCCGAGAGCCATTCAGTTAGGAAAAAATTGTTTCCCCTGAAAGTACCTATCCCCTGTAATCAAGTCAGCACTCAGCCCCCTCTTCATCAGGCTGAGGTGACGTGACCGGCGCCTGCCACTGCAGGAGCTCACTGCCAGGGTCACCTCTCCTACCGCTTCCTTCCGCGCCCCTCGGCCCAAAGCGGTGCCTGGCTGGGCCAGCCACTGCTCTCAGAACTCGACTCCGGACAAGGTCCATGTGGTGTTTTAAGCCGTGTTCCCCCTCCCACCCCATCCACTGAGCAAAGAAAGGCCCCTTTATTTTCCACAAATGCTTTCAGTGATGTCCCAGCAGAGATCAAATTCACTTACAAAAGCATGCCTAGGGAGAGAAGCAGCAGTGGAGTGCTAGTAAGCTTAAATTATTTATAAACGGTAAATAAATTAGAAAGGAATTGGTAATATGAGCTCTGTTCAAGGGCCTCTCTGTTCTGCTAAGCAGTAAGATGAGTGAAGAAAACTCTTTTCTGGTCAAAGAAATGGAAGAGGAGGATCAAGAGATGACAGGGACAGGCCATGACTTCATGCGGGGGTCTCGTTGCTCCTACAGTCCAGCTAGCAGGACTAATTCAGCCCGGTAGATAAAGCCAACATTAGGGTTCATCTTCCTTGCCCTGATTTTAACACACCCATATATGTTCAAGAGCAGCATTTTAGGATAAATGCAGCCCAAGGATCCCAGAAATTTGTTTTCGTTCCTTCCTCCATTACAGGCTTTGTATGTGTCCTCAAACCAGTTTCTTTGGGCATTGCAACATTAGAGGCATGGTTTTACGTTTACCCAGGCAGAGCTGGGTAAATTTTTATACCAAAACAAGCGCAATAGCTAACTACTGAGGAGATCTGTGGGAAAGGAGAGGTTCCCTCTGTGGAGACAGAGGATTAGATTAATGAAAACCAACCAGTTGCATCCAGCAGAAGAACAGATCACAAGGCCAGGAGAGGGACGGTAACATCCTTGGGATTTCAGGATGGTCACAGGCCTCAGGAAACTTTGCACTTCATATGCACAGTGCCAATATAGAAATAGCATCATCGTGTCCTACCTTAAAAAAAAAAAAGAAAAAGAAAAAAAAAGTCAAGAAAACATGTACCACAAGTGCTTTGCTGCACTAATTCTCCCTCTCTGGGGAAAGACAGGCTAAATCTTGTATTACAGATGTCAGTCATTTTTCTTAATGTACTTACTGTACTCTGATCATATGGGAATAATAATGTTATGGAAACGCCAAACAGAAGGAGCCCCTCTTGTGTTTCTATTAAGAAGTGCTAAAAACGAATCTGTGTTAAAATGTATCGCTCTGTCTGATTAGCGTTAAGCAGCAAGCACTACATGGTAATCAGCAGCTCGCCTACGCATCATGATAGTAAGGATGCTAAGCTCGGTTTCTGAAGCCGGATGATGTCAGGAAGCTGCTGCTTCTTTTTCTATAATTATTATAGAATAATTCAAGCTGTTGTAGGAAAAAAAGCTGGAAAGTCCAAATCTTTGATATGCAAGAAACTACAACCCACTGAACTGTATACCAAAAAAAAAAGAAAAGAAAAGAAAGAAAAGTAATGGGTGTGTGGGGGTGTGTGTGTGTGTTAGTCTTGGTTTGGAGGGTACTAAGGCAGCAGTAAGAGGGGGACCAAAATGAGTAAGAGTAAGAGGGGGACCACCTCCCGGTAGAGCGGCTGCGGGGGGGGCTGTGGCCCTCTCCACTCCAGGTGCGGCAGTGGCGCCTGTCCCCAGGCACCCCGCTGCCCCCGGCTGCCCAGGCCCTCCCCCAGCCCCTCTGTCTCTTTTCCTTCTCAGGTCTGGCTGGCTTTGCTCGGCTCTGCCCAGGAGATCAATACGAGGTATGTCTGGGTTGGTTTGTGGTCTGTTTAATAGCAAAAAAATCAAAAGGAAGGCAGATCTCTGCTGCTTTTTGCATTGCAATGAATAAAGCCTTTTCACATCAGCACCCCAAGAAACAGCTATTATTTTGCCTTTATATGATCTGGAAAACCTTGCAGTTCTCTCTATGTCTGCCTATGTCAGGGCATCTGTCAGAAGCTGTCAGAAGACCTGTATGTTAAATTCAGAGCACTGGATGACGGCTATTTGAAGAACTACAAGCTTTTTTGTTGTTGTTTTTAATTTTAAAAACTTAAATTAAAAAAAAACCAAACCCACGCGCAACCCCCCCCCCTTTTTTTAAGTGTCTTCCAGAATGAAGGAGTGCTTCTCACTGTCATATTTGCCCCAAATATTTCTAATTCCCCTGGAAAGAAGCATATGCCCCATCCTAGGCACGCAGAGCAAATTGATCAAGTCCTTGCAAGCATCCTTTAGTGAATGTTTAGACTTTATTTCATCATAAAGCAGAGTAGCAGAAAGACACAGAATAACTATTTCTTGAGACCCAAGCTACTACCTGCTGCTGTGTCAGGATCTCCAGTCACTGCAGAGTTCCAGTGGAGAACATCAAGAGCAGGTTAATTGGAGACAGATTAAAATAAAAACCTCCAGCTCTGGCCAGAACAGAGCTAAGCCTGCAAGAAATTCACAGTGGCGTGGTAACGGATCCCCTCCAACCTGTGCTTCCCAGATCTCTTGATCATCAGTTCATTTGTTCCTGCTCTCATTCCCTGTGAGAAATCTCTTCTGCCGCTTCCACACCTGCAAACGGCGCGTGCCTGCTCTGCGGGGCCGATTAGTTGGTGCAGGTCTCCCCTAGTCGGTCCTGCAGCCCAGAACGGGCTTGCTGCTCTTACCACTTCAAATTGTGTTACTGCACTGTGCATCTCATTCATTTCCATCACCAGCCAGCCAAAGTCTCGCAGCTGGGGGGGGGGGCCTCTGGTGGGCGATGGCCAAAAGCTCCGCAACCCTCTCCCTTGCCTGGGAAGGCAGCAGATCCAGCAAGCTGTAGGTGTTAGGAAAGGCCACGGGGGCTTTCATCCCACCCTGCCAAATCTTAACCCCCCCACCACTGCCACTTTCCCTGTAATTAGAGTTAAAACTCCTGCGCATTCTTTGTGTGTCATCTAGTTACATGGAGGTGAAAGCTGAGGTGAGGGGTGCCTTACCAAAAGGAACGATTAGGAGAGCTGAGAGGCAGATATCCTCCAGGATAGACCTTTTCCTTCTGGCTGGATGGGAAGCAGATGGGCAGCACCTGCACCACTAACTCTTCCAACCTACTTCAGACCCTTTCCCCAATTGTTTCTGATATTTGTGCATCAAGAGAGCAGACTTCTCAAGAAAAAAGAGGATTTTTCTTTTTCAGATTTTCATGCGTTATGGGCGCCAGCGATGGAAGCTGAAAGGCAAAATAGAAATGAATGGCAAGCAAAGCTGGGATGGAGAAGAAATGGTTTTCCTCCCTCTCATTGTCGGACTGATCTCCATTAAGGTACGCATGCTAACTCCATTGCCTGCAAGCAAGGCAGGAGTCGAGAAGCTGCCTTTTCATGCACCGTCATCGAAAATGCAGCAGCAGATCATTAAACTCATTGGAAATGAGCTATCATTAGCATTTCCAACACACCTATACTAGAATGAATCGAGATGGTATTGTCCAGTCTAGATGCTACAAGACTGCAATTGGTTTGGGAGACCTGTGGGAGAGGTTGTCCTAGCACTCCCCAGACTGGTGTCATAGCCATACCAACGCGGCCCTTGCCTCACATCGCTCTCTCCAGCAACTCAGATTATCTGCACCAAAGCAAGGGAACACTAGAAACCTGTTTGCTAACAGTATTCAGGAAAACAATAGCAATGAAATACCCCAAACCAAAAAATCCCACTGCTGATAAGTTTTTAATACTGCTCGGATGAGAAAGCAGCATCTTCTGGTTTGGAAAAATACCTAGGGCTCTCATCCGAACACACACAGGGCCAGTTGGGCATAAGCTGGAACAGTCCTGAGGTCCAGCCTGGCCGCCCTGTGCAGACCAGCAGTGCTATGCTGTGAGGGAGCAGTGCTGTGAGGTTTCTGCTCACAGTGAGACGGGGGTGCGTAGAAAAACCACTCTGACTCTTTGGCGGCTTCCTGGAGCACAGCAGTTCCCAAAATTTCTTCATGAAAGTCCCTCTGACTCCATGCCCTGTCCCCCAGGGAAACAACTTTTGCAACTCCAAGCAATCAGCAGTGACTTTTCCTCATAAACCGGAGTCTTTCGATCACTGCTCCATCCCCTCATTGCCCCAGAGTTACTGGAGATGGATACATAGAATAGGGCTCCCTTGGGAATTGCTAAGTAGGCCAGCTACATCAGGAGATTGCCTGGCATCAAAATTGTCAGTTGCTGAGAGAATATGAGACAGGAAAACATCCAATACGCTCTCCCTGTCCCTACTCTTCCCTTGGGCTCTGCTTATGGTCACTGCAAAAGACAAAATGCAAGGTCAGATAGCCCCTTGGTCTGAGCCAGCATGGTTGCTCTCTTCTGACACCCATAAAAACGTAAAGAAAACATAGAAGTATGATCCTATGCAGCTATGCATTTATTAAAAAAAAATAATAAATCTGAATTTTCCCCTAAGTTAATTAAGATGCAACAAACATAGTCATACTTCAGAAGCCTTTTAGGAAGGGGTCCAGGCCAGAAAAATCAAAACCATTGCCTTGTAATTAAGGATTGCAATGCCTTGCGTGCTCCTAGATATCCTTTTCTTGTCTCTCTTTCAGGTCACAGAAGTTAAAGGGCTTGCTACTCACATCCTTGTGGGAAGCGTTACCTGCGAGACAAAAGACCTGTTTGCAGCTCGGCCTCAGGTGGTTGCAGTTGACATTAATGACCTTGGCACAATAAAGCTGAACCTTGAAATCACCTGGTAGTAAGTAGAGCTGGCTGGGTTGGTTGGTTGGTCAGTCACTGGGTCAAGCAGTTGTAAAAATTCAATGAAAGCAAAAAGGTCCATGGGGTCTTTTATCTCCTTTTCACTCCCTGCTGAGGCAGATGGGGAAGGAATTGTGGCCCAGGTCTGGGAGATAAGAACTACTTCATGGTCAGCCTTAGTATTCCTGTGTTACCTGTGGCAAATGCGGTTGCACCTCATTTCTTAGTTGTGCCTATTTCAACTGTTACAATGGGTGTGGTGAGTACTGACATTACCAGACGTGTGAAAGAAATAGCGATGGAACGGGTTGCCCAGAGAGGTGGTGGAGGCCCCATCCCTGGAAGCATTCAAGGCCAGGTTGCACGGGGCTCTGAGCAACCTGATCCAGTTAGCAGTGTCCCTGCTCACTGCAGGGGGATTGGACTAGATGACCTCTAGGGGTCCCTTCCAACCCAAAACATTCTATGATTCTATGATTCTATCATAGGATTGACTAAAGTCTGTACTTCTTCCCCAAGCTTGAGTAAGGGACATAACACAGTCCTTATACAGTCATTACTTTTTTTTAATATTAGTGTAAAATTCAGTGGAGTTGCCCTGGATTTATGTTAGCCTAGCCAAGTTCAGAAGCTGGCCCTTCTTTAAAAGCTGCCTTTTATGGGCTTCATACATGGCCTGAGGGTGGTGGGAAATGGCCCAGCATTGTCTGTCTGCGTTGGTAAACGTAGGTAAGCTGATGCTATTAGGATTCAAACCCAAATCTCACAGCACTTTAATAAAATTGGTAACTGTCATTTCTGAAGAAGCATTGATGCTTTTAGCTTTTACAGTCATGTAGGCTATTTCTTGTAATGCAATAAATATGAAGGCAGCAATAACAGCTACCGGTTTCCTTTATAATGCAACAGCTCTATTAATAGCAGAGCACCTTTCTTATTAGTATGTGTGACACTTGTCAGCTCAAATCCAAGAATACTTTTCATGTGAGAATAACAACATCAGACTGCACTACGTAAATGATTTCTGAGAGTAGAATACTTTTATCAGAACCGAAAACCACACTTCTGAGCCTGCTGTCTAATTAAGAACATTTCCTTTTCAACATTTCTGTTAAAATACTTTCTATCTCTGGGGTTTGATGTGCTAATAAGCCACCTTTTCAAAAACCCTCTCTGTGGACCTGAAATTCCTTCTTGCTCAGCCTAACAACTTCTTTTTTTTTTTTCCCCTGCTTGTGCGTCCGTAGTCCCTTCGATGTTGAAGACTTGACCCCATCTACTGGAAATGTGAGCAAGGCATCTGCTCTCCAGAGGAGAATGTCCATGTATAGCCAAGGCACTCCAGAAACGCCAACCTTCAAGGACCACTCATTCTTTGTAAGCTCTGTTTGGCTTCATGTTTACGTAATGAGGAGCCCTAGAGCAGTTCAAACACTGCAAACACTTCATTGCTTTACACGTCTGAGTCTTTTTCCCCTGGTTCCAGCAGGTTACCCTTACAAATACTTATAAAGCAAGTGCATTCCTAGCTGCTAATCCTAAAAGGTGACTATGATCCTGGCATCTTTGAAACTATGTGGCCAGTTATTGCATACCTATTCTTCTTGCCTGACTGCTGGAATACTTGAATGATCTTTATGAAGTGTGTGTCTGTTTTGTAACAGTAACAGCCATTATAGTGCTAGTATTTTTAATGCATCCCACGGGCAAATTTGCCCCCGTACTGAAGATATTCACAGGGTGCTCTTACATTTTGCATGAATCAAATTCTGAATGCTTAATCAGGACTGTGTATTAAGCGGAATAGGCCAACTGTGCAGGCAAGAATTTTACAAGTGCTGCATCCCATGCCCGTAAATTAGTACTCTGCTACAAAGCGTTCCTTTAACCTGCCCTTCCTCACACCCTGTTTGCTTTAACTGTTGAAGAAATGGCTGCATCCCCTGCAAGACAGGCCAAAGTTGACAATCTTAGATGCTCTGCAGGACACTTTCTTTGACAAGCTTCGTCGCAGTCGCTCTTTTAGTGACCTGCCGTCGCTCAGGCTAAGCCCGAAAGCAGGGCTAGAGCTATATGTGAGTCCTGGTTTTTGTTTGGTGAAGGATTTTTTTCAGTCCCTGTCTGGCACCTCCATTCCCACGCATGCTTCACGTGTTGCTCTCTGTTGCAACTCGCTCGTTTTGCTGACTGATTAGAGGGGAGAACACGACTGGGAGAGCCCATGTGGCTCGCATTAAATCAAAGTTCCTCTTGGTTTCTAGAGAGATAATGATCGGAAGCCAACTATCTGTGGGCAGAGAGCAGGGCAAAAACACAAGCCAACATGGTGTTCTTAAAAATTACCTGCTACACTGATTGATGCTATACACTTGCCTAGTAACATGACTTTCAGATGCTAAAAGTACACCCATGTCAGGGGAGAGAAGAAACGAACCTTTCAGTGTAATTATGCTTAGGGAAAAAAGCTGCTAATAGTGCTGGGAAAAAAAGATGCAAGTTTTGGACACTTCAACCTTATGCGCTTTACCAACATGTACATTGCCTACAGTTCTTCCCAACAATTTGTCAGCAAAATAGTAGTTGCCTTTCATCTGTGCTGTGCGTTTCCATGAGTTGGCCACAAAACAAAGCAAGATTTGTCGGTCAGATAGGCAGGTTGTGACTTCTATAGTGCTTTTTCCCTATAGGTCAGTCAAAGAGATGAACATATGTATATCCTGTGATCATTTTTGGGTCTGTATATGCTGGTTTTGCTTCCTAAATGATCAATGTCCTGGTCAGTACACCGCCAGTTTCATTTAGGCAGAAATTCATGTGGAACAGGACTCCTATGTAACTCATGTTCAACAATTATTAGAGATATCCGTGCCACACACAGAACATACTTTCAACAGAAAAGAAATAGCGTAGTAATATCACCATTAAAATGCCATGACACTAGAGAAACTTTTGGAGCAAATTGTGTTAAATTTTAGGGATTGCTATTTTAGAAGTCAGAAAATAAATAAAACAGAAATCTATAATGGGTACGAAAATGCAGTGAAGGTGGCTTAAGTACAGCCCCATTAAAAAGAGACATGCTGCAAGAATTAGAGCAGGGCAGTGGGAATGCTGTCCGAGGGAATCTGGTAGGAGGAGCAGAATTCAGGTCTCTGTTCTGGGACTCACTTCCTAGAGCTCTCTGCTTACCAGAGAGATGCTGAGCCCAAGTTTTCCAGCAGTTTTCCTGCTGAAATCAGGAGCCACGCCAGATGAAAGCAGAAGTTGGATTTGAAATATTTTCCCCATCTCTCAAGCCTTGAATGCTTCTTTAATCTTTTTCCTTGCATTTTTCTTTCCTGGGAACATACTAGGGTTTTTTTTCTCTTTCCAGTGCTACATGAAAGACATTTTTCTCTATTACCTTTTCAGTCGAATTTGCCAGACGACGTCTTTGAAAACGGAACGGCAACCACCGAGAAGCGACCTCTTTCTTTCACTTTTGGCGACCTGCCTTACGAAGACCGTGTGCCCTCTGCCAACGCAGCAGAGTCCTCTTCTGCTCACATCAGCTCCAGCCCTGACATCACTGCGACCCCCACCCAGCACCGAGCTCTCAAGTCCTCCAAGAGCTCAAGCCTGGACTGCAGCAGCAGCGACTCCCGCAGAGACTCTGTCGCTGAGCCCAAGGAGCTGCCGTCTCAGGGAGAGGGAGCAGTGGTTGAGAACAAGGCCACCCCGAGGGCAGCTCCCGAAGTCTGCCAAAATAACTCTGACGCTGGGAGTGATCGTGTCTTTATAGAGACGAGCGTCCCGGTGTCTCTCCTGCAGGACACAGATGAAGGTTCAGAGCTTAAGCCCGTGGAGCTGGATACCTATGAGGGCAACATCACAAAGCAGCTGGTGAAAAGGCTTACATCAGCAGAGGCACCCATGACCCCAGAGAGGCTGCCATGTGAGGGATCGATTAGCGGGGAATCAGAAGGATATAAGTCTTATCTAGATGGAAGCATTGAAGAAGCCTTGCAAGGGCTTCTCTTAGCTCTTGAGCCACATAAAGAGCAGTATAAAGAGTTTCAGGACCTGGACCAAGAAGTGATGCATCTGGATGACATCCTAAAAGTGAGTACATTTTCAGAAAATACTACCCTAAAGAAAATCTGAGCAGGTAGAATCTCCTCCCCTGCCTCACTAACGTCAAAGTAGGGTTTTTGGAGATCAGTGAAATTGCTTAGTAGCAGTAGATTTGCTCCTGCTTGGAGCGTCCTTTCACAGTGTTGCATTTTTAAACTTGTCTGCAATGTGCTTACATTGCCTTGCATCCTCAAGCATCCTCAAGCAATGGATCTTCTAATCTACTCGAAACCTGGGGGAAAGAGAAAAAGCTGCAGTGGCAGAGGGGCAATTAAATTATACCCTCTGTGAAGAAGCCACTTGTGAACCCATTGCTTGTGCCATACTGGAGATGAGGTTATATCCAATCTTCTGTCTTTAAAATCTATGGGTCACATCCTCGGTGGGCGTATGTTAGCATATTGTCCCTGAACTCCCTGGAGCTGTGCAAAACCACATCAGCCAAGGATCAGGCCTTGTAGCCATAGAAGCTGAATTTTCTAAATTGCCCAAGAGATTTAGAAGCACAAGTCTCACTGAAGGTTGCCATCCCCACGTCACCTAGGCTTTTTCCAAGCCTTTTCCTTTTCCCCCATCCATTTTTAAAATGCAAGACATCCTGTCGTTACACCAGGATGGACATAACATGTTGAAAATTAGGAAGAAGAAAAGGGGTTTACATGTGTGTTGTTAATACGTTTACTGCTGATCGCTGTGACTCATATCTCCCCCATGAATAATAATTCGTGACGCATTACTGTGCAAAGAGTATTATATGGGAAATAATCATTTCAAATGCTTCATATTCATATGCAAGTTGGTCTGCTAGTCATTTTAGCCTCATCATTTAAAAAGGTAGCTGAGGAGGAAGGAGGGAAGCATTTATCCTTCCGCATTATCTTTTTTACAAAGAAGCTTTGTTAACATCTTTGTTTCCATTGGTGTTTGCAGCTGCCTGGTACTTTCCCAAATTAAGTGCTTTTTGACAGCCTGCAGCCCCTGTTTCTTGCACTATTTGCCAAGGAGGTTCAAGCAGGCAAAGCTATTATTTTTTAACTTTTTGGCTGCTCTGCAGCTTTTACAAAGATGCCAGCTATCCAAAGAGCAGAGGGACAACGGACACTGTCTATTCACACTCCTTTTATCGGAAGTTACAAAGGGACAAACATGGGATGGGGGGGAAGAGAGAGGACAGGCGTGTGCAGGCAGGATTCCTGCACGCTGGAGAAGGACGCCTTTTCCAGACCTGCTTTATGTCTGTGTGCCGCCTATTGATCAGCTCGCAGACCAACACTCAGCATCGCCAGCGGCCGTGCTGGGCTCCCCATGCAAAAAGGTGGAGCTGGAATCCAGCTGCGGCTGAAGAAATCTCTCTTGGCAACATCAGATGGGCAGAGAAAGGGAGAAGCCCATACGTTGCTGTTTGCTGTTGCCTGAAGAAGCCGCACTACCAGCCCTGAAAGAAATGGTAGCTAAACCCATCAGCACCGCAGAGGAAGCGAGATAGAGCATCCACCTGTCTCACAGAGGTGTTTGATCAGCTAATGGCTGTACGGTCAGTTTAAGGTGTCAATCATGTCCAGTGCTGCATCGTAAGTGCTAACAGATGACCATTATAGCATTAATACTGTGTGCAAATTAATTGGAAACAAAACTCCAAGCCTTCTCAACTCTCGAGGAGCTGGTGGTGAGTCTGAACTTGGAGGCCGGTGCATTTCTTTCTAAAACTGAGACAAAGTCTCCTGCTTGGGACTGGAAGATGTGGCTTGTGGAACGGCACCGGTGGCTCCTGCTGTTCTGGGCAAACAGTAACATAGCGTTAAAGACGTCGAAGTCATTGCACAAACCAACAGAGGCGATCCCTCAAGTTACATCTGATCCTGCAAGGTGACCCTGGAAGCAAGTCTGTGGGCATGTCTGGATGAATCGCCAGGTGGGACCGGGGCCTTTGACACCTCCTACAACAACAACAGGGCTTCAGTGGCATTTCTTCCTAGCAGTGAGACAGGATGGCTTCCCCTCCTCTCCAGCACTGTTCATTTCCAAGTTACAATACCGGCTTTCTCTGTCACCTAGGAATCTGCACCCAACTGGCTTTTCCTTGATAAGCCATGTGGCTTCAAAGGCCACAAAAGTCCTCCCATCCCATGGATAAGTCTGCAGATATGGGACCAAATTCATTCCTGGCTAAGGTCCTTTGGAGTTGCATCTGGAATAAATCTGATAGTGCCATTGGACGTGTATAAATTGGCTTCTGTATCTTCAACAGCAATTAGAGAACGTACCTTCCCCTTTCAACTTCCCGTGCATTAATTGCCGTTTCTCCTTTTGGAGGATGCTGAAAGCTGTGTCACTTGGATTCAAGATGTACTTCTCATTCCTATAAAGCACATTGAATTTTGCCTTTGAGGGTTTTCCTTTGGGGAAGAGAAGGGGGTAGGATGGGGAGGGGAGGAGGAAGGGAAGGGTTTTTCCAGTTCTCAGGCTTTGATTGTATATGCTATGAATATGAAGGTTTGAAATGAAACAGCCAATAAAGTGAAATTTTAAAAATAAAATGAAGAATTTGAAAGTTTTAAGCTTTATCCTTTTTTTCTTTTCTTTCCATAGTAGCTAATATCTGGGGTGTTCATTGGTTCATTTGGTTTTCATTGGTTCATTCTGCCTTTGCAGTGCAAGCCAGCAGTAAGCCGAAGCAGGTCCTCCAGTTTAAGTCTAACAGTTGAAAGTGCTTTAGAAAGCTTTGATTTCCTGAACACCTCTGACTTTGATGATGAGGATGGTGGTGGTGTGGAGGTTTGTAATGGTGGAGGAGGTGCAGACTCGGTATTTTCAGATACTGAGATTGAGAAGAATAGGTAAGTTCGTAGCAACTGCCAGCTGCGCTTACGCCAAACTGATACCCCCCTAGCTCTTTGTCGCTAACAGGGGATCCCGGTGCTCACGTTATTCAAGGAAGACTGACTAATCCTCGATGAGTTTATAGGGTCAGAGGGTTCCCTGTGGCTGCTGCATACAAAATCTTTTAGCTTCCAGGATCATTTTTTTCCTGTTCAAATATACGCAATCTGTCTTCCAAAGGAAGAAGGGTAAATTAAATTAAGCTGACATCAATACTGGCAAAGCCTCTTCCTTGACATAGGTTTGGACCTGGCTTTCCTTGGATGTAATTACTAATTCCTCTGTGGTTTTTTCCCCCCCTCCCTTTGTTTTTTCTCTCTAGCCGAATGAGTCTTTGCAGTGGATTAAGCTTGTCAGTAACAATAACACAGGGCCAGATTTAAGCAGCATGGTGTAGGTTTCCTTTGGAATGTAAGAGTGATGACTGGTACTCTGTTCATGGCCCTGCGTGTTACCTGCCCTTCTTTCATCACTTTTGGTCTTTCCGAGAGAAAAAAAAAAAAAGGCAAAAAAAAAAAAAAAAGCAAAGCTGTGGTGTTTGTGCCATGGTCTGCCATTGTCGTGTGACCTTAAGATGCTGTGTTTCAATCATTAGATCCTAAAAGCACGTTCACATCCTCAGAGCTGACACGATGCCCAGCAGGCACGTGAGCAGCACAAGAGCTGGGAAAAAAGAAAAGAACGTGGTTGCCTCGTACCCCACGCCTTCCAGCCAGGGAGCTATACTTCTCGCAGCATATTGTGGCCTGTTCAAAACAATTTTGAGTGCAAGCAAGCAACCGCCATGCATTTCCCATCATCTCACTGCATATCCTCTTTACAGAATAAGACTTTGTGGGAAGAAAAACTTGGAAAATTGTGTTGCTTGCTCAATTGGCACCCTGAGCTCAGTTCAGTCTGCATTGATTTAAGGATCTGGCTTTAACCAGGCACTTTTGCATAAATTCAACTTAAGCAGCAAAAATTTAAGTTAGTTATAAGCTAACTTAGAAAACAACTAAAATATTTTGAGTTAAAGTAGAAGTTAAAATTTCCTTTTATTCCCCCCTGGCTCATCCCCGGACAGTGTAGATTCCCGCTTTCATTTTTAGATGTGCAAGTGTGTGACCGGGTGTAAAGATTGCAAGCGTTGAAACTTGCAGCCAAATACACTTGCCATCTGGGGACTGACCTCGGGCTTTGCATTTGAACACAGGGAGGACCATTGAGACAACGAGACAATGTTGGAAATAATGATTTAAAACACAGTGAGACTAGCTTTACGCTCTTACAGAAACGATTGGCAAAGTAAGCTGTACACGTTGTGCCCGAGAAAGCGTATGGAAACATCATGTCTCTTACTCCAGCAGTGGCTTGCATTTCCTTCTGCGATGAGCATTACATTTGGCAGCAGGAGGACACCGAAAGCACAGAGCTGTTCTTAGCAGCTCGGGGCTTGGGATGGCACAGATTGTGCTTAATCCAGGGTGACAAGGGAGGTGATTGAGCGAGAGATGGGAGAAAACACTGTCACCACCAAGCGACAGTAACTGGGGATTAAGAGGGGCTTGCTGGTGAGGGCATCGCATCGCTCAGGGCAAATCACTCGGGGGACGGAGAGCTCTCCCCGCAGTGGGCACAGCCCTTCCACGCCCGGCCCGGGCAGCACTGCTCCTTTGCGATATGATGTATTTCATCGCGAGGTTTCTGGCTGCTTTCAGCTCCTCTGCCGTGCTTGTTGCTCATCGCCCTGCGTGAGCGTGTGTGTGTGCCTGTCTGCGTGTCTGCCACGGCGGCAGTCGGCCCTGCACTGACCTCCCTCCCTCGTCCCTCCCCAGTTACAGGACGGAGCACCCGGACAGCAGAGGCCACCTGAGCGAAGCTCTCACCGAGGACACGGGTGTGGGCACCAGCGTGGCCGGCAGCCCTCTGCCCCTCACCACGGGGAGCGACAGCCTCGATATAACCATAGTTAAGCACTTGCAGTATTGCACGCAGCTCATTCAGGTACTGGGCCCAGCTCATCTAAGGCATATATTTAAAAATAATCTTCCCTGCAGGCATCGGTGTGCCCGCAATGTGGAGTATGAGCTGGCTGGCAAGGTCAAGCTCTGCTCCTGGGGGGCAGTGGGAGCGCAGGGCTGGGACAGCTGCCGTGCTGGAGCAAAGGTGACGGGGGAAAAGCCTCCACTGCTTCTGTCCTGGCCCGTCTCCGAGCAGACCCCATGTGCAAACTATGGGGCACTCTGCAGGTGCCGCCCAGCAGGACTGGTGGGCAGTGCAGCAGGTGACGGGGGCAGCCCCTGCTTTGGGGTATGAATACCCATGGGCTTTGCCCGGAGATCTTCAAGGAGATTGGTCCCTGGTTAAGGCAGCTCATGTGAGGCAGCCCCAGCTGGGGATGTTCAGCCTGGAAAAAAGGAGGCTGAGGGGAGACCTTATCGCCCTCTACAACTGCCTGACAGGAGGCTGTAGCAAGGTGGGTGTTGGTCTCTTCTCCCTGGTAATGGGCAATATGATGAGGGGAAATGGCCTCAAGTTGCGCCAGGGCAGGTTTAGGTTGGACATCAGGAAAAATTTCTTCACCGAAAGGGTTGTCAAGCATTGGAATGGGCTGCCCAGGGAAGTGGTGGAGTCCCCATCCCTGGAGGTATTTAAAAGCCAGGCAGACGAGGTGCTTAGGGACATGGTTTAGTGGTGGGATGGCAGTGTTGGGTTGACGGTTGGACTTGATGATCTTAAAGGTCTTTTCCAACCTAAACGAGTCTATGATTCTGTGACTCTCTGTCTTCAGAGGTAAAACAGAAGCCTGTGGCCCCACTGTTTAACCGAGCCCCAGACAAGGCTGTGATGTTCAAGAGCAGAAATGAATTTCTGCATGTGAGCTGGAGAGACTGTCTGCAACACACACAGTGAAGGCAGCACATGACAGCCCCCCAGGACATCAAAATTGTCTGTTCCTGCTCACAACTAAGTAGCACAACCTTTTAGAGGTTTTTTTTTTCACAGCACAAGCACAGCAAATGTGATTTAAACCTCCAGCAAGCCACCCTAGCAAGCGAGGGCATCGGGGTTTTCCTGACAAATCAAAACAGACTGCAGCTTCCTCTTTGCAATTACTTGACTCTTCCATTTTAGATATAATTAGTTTTATTTTCCCAAACGAAAGCAATACAGAGCAAGCCTGATTCCAGCACCCTTAGTGCTGAGCTGGACACTCTGATGACTCACAAGTATGAGAAAAAGGGAGGGTTTTGGCTTAAATACCAGAGTACACAGTAAATACGCAGCTGGGGGAGGTGAGCTCACACTATGTCCACACTTGGAGCAGATTTGATGTGAACAATATTTATGTGGACTGCTGAAGAAAATGCAGATGTCAGCGGCAGGGAGTACTGTAAAGGAAAAAGCACCAAATTGATAAAGACACCTGAGTAGTTGCTCAGCGCTGAAACAGAGTGGAGAAAGAGTGACCTGTGGTCTGCCTCCAGGCAAGTATGTCTTGGCCTTATCAATCCATGGCCTGTGTTACAGGAAAGTCAGACTAATATTCTTTTCTGGCTTTAAGGCTTATGCTGATGCATTCCTTTAGCTTTGCAGAGTGAGGGTGTATCAGAAATTACTTATGCAAATGGCTGCTGGGATACTCAAGTGCCTGGATCTGGATGTAGATGTTACAGATATAAGCAACAGTGCATACCAACCAGGACCATAAAATATCCCAGAGACAAAAAAACTTTTGAAGTTAAGGAGATCCCATGATTCCAGGCAATGGATTTGCCATTGCACTTCTTCAGGTGCCAGGTGTTTTGGAGGTTTTTTGTTTTCCTCTGAGGTTTTTTTTGGTTCAGTGACCCCTTTTCCTCTCTTCCCATTTGTCTTCCCCAGCAAATTGTGTTCTCCAGTAAAACACCGTTCGTGGCAAGAGACCTCCTGGATAAGCTGTCCAGGCAGATCCTTGTGATGGAGAATATTGCGGAGATCAGCACTGAGAACTTGGGAAACATCACCTCCCTTACTGATGGTAAGAGACAAGTTAGGGGGTTTCCTTCTGAAAAGGGTCTGTTTGGGCACACGCGCCTGCTGAAATGATCGCAGTGCAGAGTTCACCACCGCTGCAGGAGATGCCACCGTAGTAAGGTCGACTCACAGTTACCAGCAGTCACCAGAGTTAGTCAGGGGCCTTATTCTATCTTCAGCGCTGGTATCCAGAAATAAGCAGGTGAGAAGAGAAAGGCCTTACCCTACGTGATGTGCAGAAGGTGCACAGAGGTTGCTGGTGTGGTGGGGTGGGGATGCTGCCGCCTCTGAAGAGGCAAAATCGCCCACCCCTCTTTCCTGAGGAAAGATGGGATCTGCTTTATACTATCAGAGGCATAATACATCTCCTCGAACGGTTTATCCAAAAGACTATTTTTAGTCATCTCTGCAGAGAACTATTTAAACACTTGTGTTCTTGTTGCATCTATTTTAATACCTCAGAAGAGTTTGACAAATGCTTAGTTACTCACCCTTGTGAACACTCTGGGCAGGATAGGTAAATATACCATGGTGTGTTTACTTTGCTTATCAGAAAATTGAGGCAAAATCGAGTGACTTACCCAAGGCCACAGAGCAGGGCTAGGACAGGGACCAGTCTTGTGCAGATCA